AATGTCCCAATTTACGGCGCCCGACCGTATGCAAATTTCCCGTAACGAATTAAGAATTGACTTTGGGTGGAGTTGCAAAATTCGTGCAATCGTCACTTCCCTTTTCTGCAGTCTGTCTCTGTGATGCACATGTCAGTGCTGCTTCATTCCTCAAAATTCTGCCAAAATTGAATCAAAAACACCTCAACAAAGTACGAGGTTTTTTTTCTTTTTTAATGTCCAAAAAAAAAGTACGAGGTTTTTGACCCAAAAAAAAAAAGTACCTGGTTGAATTCCTCCTAACGACCTGAGGTAAGCGTCGTTTTGCACAGGATAATCGAGGAAAAACACATTTCCGACCGAACCCAACCCGACCCGAACCCGACCCGGCCCAAAGAACAACGCCCGACGAACGAAGCGACCCCGTTCCCTCCTCCGGCTTCGAGCAGCTCGGAGCTGAAACCTCGTCGTCTTCTCCAGATCTTGTTCTCCTTCTTCTCCTTCTCCGACCAAAGATGGAGGAATTCAAGACCCTGGAAATCGTCCGAGCGAGCCCCGGCTTCGCCGTCTTCCACCTCCGCCTCAACCGCCCTTCCTCCCGCAACGCCCTCTCCCTCGGCTCCTTCGCCGAGCTCCCCCTCGCCCTCGCCTCCCTCGACCGCCGCCCCGACGCCCTCGCCGTTGTCCTCTCCGGCGCCGGCGACCACTTCTGCTCCGGCATCGACCTCGCCGCCCTCGGCTCCATATATCTTGGGCAGGACCCCAAACATCAGAATGAACAAGATCGAAGATCACACTAGTTCTAGAGTTATTAACAGGAAAAGGCTTAGCAGATTGCTTGGCCAAAGGGCAGATGGAACATGGAGGAAGACTACCAGAAGAAATAGGACCCAAAGCACTTGTTGGTGAAGGACGGTGAGACGAGAAGACGGAATATGTCCAAGACGCTGATGCCACCGAACAAGATCGAGGGTAGCCAACACAGGATGAGGAAGAGAGGAAGTTGGAAGATGGAGATGTTGCATAATATAAAGTCCATCCCATCTACTGCCCCTGCCAATCATCTTGCCACTCAAACGATCCTGCACAAAGCAAGAGCTATTTGTAAAGCTTATAGTACATCTAGCATCGGTGAGTTGTCCAACAAATAATAAATTGAGAGCCAAAGAGGGAACATATAACACATCAGGGACATTGAAATCTTCAGAGACGGTAAGAGTACCCTATCGGGTAGCTAGTAGAGGAGAACCATTAGCAGTAAAGAAATGTGCTGGTTGCTTGAGCTCAGAGAGCTTAGTGAGAAAAACAACGGAAGTAGACATATGTCTAGCAGCTCCTGAGTCAAGTACCCAAGTAGTAGAAATATCACCTGAAAGTGGAGTAGCTGCAGCGGTGCTTCCAGCAGATGAGAGAGTTGTAGAAGTACCAGAATCGGGAAAAGACCTGGGCAGAGAAGGACTCAAACGGGCAAGTTGGGCCTCAAGAGCAGCAATACGGTCATCCATAGAGGGAGAAACCAGAGTAATAGGTTGAGAGATTGGAGATGCGGTAGTGACTCGTGGTGATGCAGAAAGGCGTGAAGCATTCCTCTTCTTCCAACAATGTGACTCGTCATGACCAGGACGATGACAATACGTACATGAAAGGCGGCGAGGACCACGAGTAGGCGAAGGACGTGGTGGAGCAGCCAAAACTGTAGGCGGAACACGTGGTGGAGCAGCCAAAATAGCAGTTGAATCAGAAACTGCCGAGGAAGAAAGAAGACCAAGACGAGTTTCCTCAGACTGTAATTCTTTGACAGCGTCAAGGAGGGATGGTCTTGGAGAGCGGTGAAGAAGTTGGCTGCGAACACCTTCATAGGGAGAGCCGAGCTTCATAAGAAAAGAATGTAGACGGTGCCTATCTTGAGTCTGAAGTCGAGTAGATGGACACCGAGTACAGTTCAGGCATGATGGGCAGAGAATAGGAGCAAGAATATCTAGTTGACTCCAAAGTGAGTGCATGTAATTGTAGAAATCTCGAATAGAGCGAAACCCTTGCGTAGCACTGTAAACTTCTTGCTCCAACTGATAAACTCGAACATCCCCTGTCTGGGTGAACATCTCGGCAAGCTGATCCCATAAACTTTTCGCCTCAACAACATTAGAAAATTGTGGGCGAAGAGCAAGATCAATGGAACCAAAAATGATAGCCCATGCCTTCCGATCAGCAACATTCCATGCTCGAATTTCAGCGGCACGTTTCGCAACTTCATCAGATGATTCACTTTTAAGAGCACCAGGACAAGGACAAAGTCCCTCAACATGCTCAAACAAGTCGCGGTAAACAAGTGCTGCCATTGCCGATGGTTTCCAAAGAGAATAGTTTGAACCATCGAGTTTGACGTCAATACGGTCACTAGAATCACCCATGACGACAAAAAAAGAAATCACTAGCAAAGCTAGAAATGTGGATTGAGGTGATCGAAAGGATCGAGAAAGAAGAAGCGCTGATTAAAACGAGCAAGGATGATGGCCCAAAAGCCCTATACTCATTATCTTAATTTCTGATGCGGAAGATCCAATTTATGGCAACCGCAGAGCATACTTTAAAAGATAATGAGCTCATTGTCTTAATTTCTGATGCGGAAGATCCAATTGATGGCAACCGCAGAACATACTCTTCAAGACAATGATCTTGGCTCTGATACCATGATAAGAAATAAAGATTAAAAGAGAATGGTATTTATTCTCTTATAATTGTGTGTGAAACAATGTACATGAGAAGCCTTTATATAGGCTTAGAGGAGTAAAGGAGCCTAGTATTCTTCCTATGTGGGACCAAAGAGAAAGAAGAAATGTAAAGGAAAACCTACAAAATTATACAACATGTTCTAACAGTATGATGGGTGTGTTTTGTCCCTCGCTTGGAACTTCAATCGGTTGGGATTAACCGTGCATAGAACAGTGTACTGAAGATTCTGGGTCAGTGCTTTTCTTTGTTAAAATAGCAAACTACCCTTCAATTGCTATTTGGATGGGCATTTTTTGTTGCTAACCAAGGCTGTGGAAAAAAAATTTGCCCATTGAGGTCATTACTTCAGTGAGTATATCTCTGTAAAAAGAGATGACAGCAAGTTGTAGGTGGGAAAATTGACCTCATTTCAGGTAATAGTGTGTACTGGATTGGGGACTAGGAAAGTGTCCTTGCATTGGTAAATCATTCGTGTAGACAGAGTTGTTTCTTGTGGATATTGCTCTGTTCTGATTTTCTGAGGAAAGGTTGGTTTTATTTTGCACACAGCGATTGCTTCCAAGTCCCCGATGGGACCAAAGCCGTGCTACTAAAGAGCAGGACACGAGTGTAGATCAAGGCTTGGACTACGTTGTGACCTGGAACTCGACAATGCTTCTGTCCGATGATCTGGCAGAGGCCGTCTCGGCGCACATGCAGAAAAGGAAACCTGTTTTCGCAAAGTTCTGATGGTCGACGTCAGCATCGAAGCGGAAGAACCGATTCAATGCTTTACATGTAAAGTAGTGCAACCAAGAAGAACATATCTGTCTCTCTTTGACCTTTTTATAAAGACAACATAACCTTGAGCAAGAAGATGAATCGGCTCACTACTCAAAAGATCCTCCTGTGACCGAAAATTACCAAGTAAAGTTTCAAGTGAACTTGTTGACATGATTGATTGTTGTTCTCCATTCGTAGTACAAAAAAACAATATTGTCATCCATAGTAACTGCACTACAAAAAACAATACAATGAAAAATGAGTAAATTGTGCATAATGCATACATCAACCACAATATCGAAGTCGAAAAATTCACGATTGTGAGAATAATCTAGGGAAATAAAGTAAATAATTTGCAGATAGAACTAATATTTCTTTAATCCGATATATGATTAGTATTTGCTCGGATTATAACAATGGAGAATAAGTTCAGACAAAGACAAACGTAACGGAAATGTTAAAATGTAATGGGTGTGGAAGAAGCTGGTAATGTGAAAAAAAGTTGTTTGAACTGAATGTAGGTAATTTTGTCTTTGAGTAAAATTGAAACAAAAGAAAAGGAAGAACAAATGTAAGAGATAATCTTAAATCAAGAGTGAGACCTGCAAAAGATAATGTAGTTAATTCTTTTTAATATGGCATGTCAAGAGCCAAAAAGAGAGTGAAAATAGGACCAACCACATTTTTTTGCCAAAACTTTAGCTTTAGGATCAATGGAACTTTATCGACCTTGGCAAAATGAGAGAGCCAGTCTGTATTTGTCCGCAGCCATCTTCATCACTTTTCATTTGCCCAATCGATTCACGCAATTCTCTTATCACTTTTGTTTCTTGTAGTAGTTAGACGTACCACTATCAATCCATTTATATAATCTTGGCGTCGATGGAGTCACGCAAGCCCGAGTTAATCGCATCTAATCGTCTAACTTTTCATCATCCTCACTAAATTCGTCCTTGAGATGCAAAATCGGTATATCAAGCAACTTGAAAGGTTATCTGGAAGCCCACGAAACATCTCGAAATTTCACGAACCGGTTAAGCTCGAACCTTCCATATAGGGTTGATGGTGGCCCCGACCCAAAACAATTTACACGCCGCAGAATTTGAACAAGTGATCTTCAGTTCATGAGCTGGAAATCTCGTAACGTCCCAATTTACGGCGCTCGACCATATGCAAATTACCGGTAACGGAATTTAAGACTTTGCGTGGAGTTGCAAAATTCGTGCAATCGTCACTCCCCTTTTCTGCGGTCCGTCTCTGTGATGCACATGTCAGTGCTGCTTCATTCCTCGACATTCTGCCAAAGTTGAATCAAAAACACCTCAACAAAGTACGAGGTTTTTGACCCCCCAAAAAAAAAAAAAGTGCGCGGTTGAATTCCTCCTAACGACCTGAGGTAAGCGTCGTTTTGCACAGGATAATCGAGGAAAAACACATTTCCGACCGGACCCGACCCGACCCGAACCCGGCCCGGCCCGGCCCAAAGAACAGCGCCCGACGAACGAAGCGACGCCGTTCCCTCCTCCAGCTCCGAGCAGCTCGGAGCTGAAACCTCGTCGTCTTCTCCAGATCTTGTTGTTGTTCTTCTTCTTCTCCGACCAAAGATGGAGGAATTCAAGACCCTGGAAATAGTCCGAGCGAGCCCCGGCTCCGCCGTCTTCCACCTCCGCCTCAACCGCCCTTCCTCCCGCAACGCCCTCTCCCTCGGCTCCTTCGCCGAGCTCCCCCTCGCCCTCGCCTCCCTCGACCGCCGCCCCGACGCCCTCGCCGTTGTCCTCTCCGGCGCCGGCGACCACTTCTGCTCCGGCATCGACCTCGCCGCCCTCGGCTCCGTCGTCTCCTCCCCCCGCTCCCTCGCCGCAGGCGCCGACCGCGGCCGCGCCGGCGAGCGGCTGCGCCGGGAGATCAAGTCCATGCAGGGGGCCGTCACGGCCATCGAGCGGTGCCGCAAGCCGGTGATCGCCGCCGTCCACGGGGCGTGCGTCGGGGGCGGCGTCGACATCGTCACGGCGTGCGACGTGAGGTATTGCACGGAGGACGCGTTCTTCTCGGTGAAGGAGGTCGACCTGGCGATAACCGCCGACCTCGGGACGTTGCAGAGGCTTCCGGGCATCGTGGGGTACGGGAACGCGATGGAGCTGGCGTTGACGGGTCGGAGGGTGTCGGGTTCGGAGGCGAAGGAGTTGGGTCTGGTTTCTCGGGTCTTCGGGTCGAAGCGTGAATTGGATGATGGAGTGAGAGTCATCGCCGAAGGTAAGCAGTTTCAGATTCTAAGTATATTGGTTTCTCAAAACCTATCTTTTTGCTGGCATATAATTCTTATGCTAAATGCCATATGCAGCGTTCACTGATTGCATTAGTCATCATTCATTGTATATGACATTGAATGATTCCTATCAGAGTTAGATAGATCCTGGTTTCATGGTTGTGCATTTCGGTGGGAATTTGAGTAGTCTGAGTCTTGAAACTTTGGTTATTGGATACATTACTCGCGGGTTTGATTCGGATGGGATTGGACATCTTTCTGATTCCAAATTGATGATTTTTGGAGTTTTTTCCAGTTATGTGGAATTCGGATCTCGAGCACTTACTTCATACTAGCATAAGAAACCAATTTGAGACCAGTTTGAATGATTGAAATCAACAATTTTGTAAAGCTGTGCGGGGTTGGTATGTGACCATAATTCAAATGGGGTTGGTATGTGACCATAATTCAAATGAAAAGATACTGGTGATAAGGATCAGGCATTGGCGGGATGGTTGGGACTTGGGTGCCGGGAGCCAAAGAAGGCATGTCTTGGTTTGGAGTGAAAAGAGAGGAAGAATGAGAGAACAATTAGTGCTGCTCCAAAGTATCGAAGTCTGGGAGGTTTTCTATTTTATCTTGGTTTTTTCCATTTTCACAATGAACCCCTACAGTGGCGAACAGACATACTCTTCATTCATAGAGTTGAACTCGGTGGTGCCTAAGATGATTGGAGTTAGGTCAGTTGCACCAAATCCACTTTGGCTGTTCTTTTGGGGTAACTACCTTTTCTCTTTGGTATAGCAGTCTAGGTTAGCAGTTTTGGCAATTAGCAAATCGAGATTGAAGTAGCATATGGTCGACTGGTCTACTTAAGCTGAACCCAAATTGTTAGACCAACAATCTAGGTTTTGGGTTTACTTCACATCGGTTGTCTTCCGTTTACCAATTTTGGACTTCTTTAACATCCTCTTGGTGTATTGAAGGATAGTGTTACCATTTAGATTTGAAGGCTCCGCGTATCCATTTCTTCAAGGCTAATCAACCCACCTGTATTTCCGTTTTCTACGCATGTGTGATGGATGTGTTTGTCCCTCGCTTGGAACTTCAATCGGTTGGGATTAACCGTGCATAGAACAGTGTACTGAAGATTCTGGGTCAGTGCTTTTCTTTGTTAAAATAGCAAACTACCCTTCAATTGCTATTTGGATGGGCATTTTTTGTTGCTAACCAAGGTTGTGGAAAAAAATTTGCCCATTGAGGTCATCACTTCAGTGAGTATATCTCTGTAAAAAGAGATGACAGCAAGTTGTAGGTGGGAAAATTGACCTCATTTCAGGTAATAGTGTGTATTGGATTGGGGACTAGGAAAGTGTCCTTGCATTGGTAAATCATTCGTGTAGACAGAGTTGTTTCTTGTGGATATTGCTCTGTTCTGATTTTCTGAGGAAAGGTTGGTTTTATTTTGCACACAGCGATTGCTTCCAAGTCCCCGATGGCTGTTACCGGGACCAAAGCCGTGCTACTAAAGAGCAGGGACATGAGTGTAGATCAAGGCTTGGACTACGTTGCGACCTGGAACTCGGCAATGCTTCTGTCCGATGATCTGGCAGAGGCCGTCTCGGCGCACATGCAGAAAAGGAAACCTGTTTTCGCAAAGCTCTGATGGTCGGCGTCAGCATCGAAGCAGAAGAACCGATTCAATGCTTTACATGTAAAGGAGTGCAAAAAAGAAAGAAGGGAAGCCGATTCTCGGCCGGCTTCCGATGTCGTTCTTATCTCCATTGTGCTTGTAACTTGGACTTTGCGTTTAAGGGTTCAAAAGCCGCCAAATAATCCCCTCTTTATCATAAAGACAGGGAATCGTCGTTGTGGTTTCTGTTGTTTTTTCTCATCATGGGTGGCCTAGGTTTTAGATTGTTATACAATGAACAATAGTTTCATCTGTGCCCTATGAGAAATACTTAGTATATATCGTTGCAAACCTCAGTCCATCTTCGAGTCCTTATTTTGTCGCGCTCTATGCATTCTGGTATATCACGGCTCTTGGTTTCCACATTTCATTGCACTCTGAGCTCCGTCTGTTTCACGAGACATGGACGATTTGCCAAATCCATTTTTGAGGATGACAAAATTTGTTCTTTTTCATTTTTATAAGCAATGTAAGTGATTTTTTTTAAAAAAATGTTCTCTAAATTATTCATTTTTTGCGAAATAAATGGAGTTTAAGCTTTAATCCGGTAAGCTTTGTTTAAGATGCACTTGCTTTTGACTTGTATTGGGGCATCTGGGAGTGATTTATTTTCCATTTATTTTTTGTTTTTCGTGCTTTTAATCTCAGATGTAACCTTTCTTAACAGGCCCACGCCGGGCTGGCCTGTCCAGGCTTTCGGGCCTTGGAGCCCACTTTGGACTTTTTCAATAATGGTCCAATTACTCCCTTTCCGAACCATTTTTGTCTGTATTTTTATAATCATTAACGTTAATAAACATGGCTATATCATTATGGATGTTCACCAACAACCTTAACCCAGGACCTTAAGGTAGTATTGAGGGGTGAAATATGGCTATATCGTCCCCCGATCAATATCATAGACACGACATCACCAATCGGTCCAATCAGGGATAGAGAAAAAAACAGCCGGGGAAAAGTACATCGCCCCGTGCTGCGACGATTTACCTTGTAGATTGACTGAACATAAGTTTCAAAAAGTTCTTTGACAAATCAAAAGTTAGCAAAAGAGTTATTTTCTTTTCTTTTTCCGTGTCAAAGTAGCTGGTGGAAATAGGAAGTTCAACACGATTAGAATGTGTTTGCGGTTTCTAATTCTGAAAATTAGCGAAGACCTGTTGAGCATTATCAAGGAACTGACCCTCTTCTGATGTATCTAAAGGCACCACACAATTAGATGGTGTTTGTGGTTTCTTGATCACATGACACAAGAAAGAAATGGTTTGCTCGTGTTAACTTCGATTATCTGTGCATCGACTACTTATTATTTATGCTCAATAAGGCAAAATGAATTTGTTGAGAATCACATTACCAGATCATCTTACTTTTACAGTGTTAAGTATGTGCCTTGTGCTTCTATTGCTTGCAAGTTCAGCAAATATATCAATGCCAATGCCTTCTTGGATCAGATCTTTGCCCATTATTGTTCTTCTCTTTAGAAGACTACTAGCAACCATCAATCTGCTTTTTCTTTTGGTTTTTTTTTTTTCATCTTATTCCTCGTGCCTTTGCAGATAATCTTGGTTACACATTGTAGAACCGGTGATCTACGGGAAGCTCTGAAGTTTATATAAAGTCTATATGTTGAATACGTGGCTAAAATCCCTCTCTACGGTCCTAAAACTCCTATCAGGTGACTGATGAACTTTTGTTGGTTTAAACTGGTTGGTTAGGTGACGTGTGTCAATGTTGATGATCTATTATTGAATTAGTGTTTTGTAGCGGACCAAAATAGTCAAATTGTCTGCCAGAAATACCTGTCTGTTAAGATCCTCGACGACACTTTTTTGTCATTTTGGACAATAAAACCTGCACTGTCCCAAATGCTTTTGATACGGATCATCAGTTGCGGTCCCTAACTTGCATCGTTTTGGTATTAGTACTTCTGTGGACATATCATTAGGAATTTGGGATAAAGACATTAGGTGGTGACTATTGCTTTTCTTTCCGTGAGTTACATTTGCATAACTGCAGAAGCTGTTATTTTCTCACCTTACACCTTTTTTTATCCTTTTTGAAGCTGTGACCTTTTCAATACAAGTCTTGACCAATCTGTAAGGAGCATTTCGTAAAACCTCGGTATGGAGTAAAATACGTAAATGCATTTTGGCCATGGATCAAGCTTAGTGGACAATCTGGAGAAATGGTTGATTGTGATGTGCCTCCTTGGTGTATTATGTGCGTCTCTCTTTGCTGCCAGTACTAATCCAACTCCAATCTTCCTATGTTTGTGTATCAGTTACTTCCTTTGGTGACGGATTAGCGGAGGAGTTTTTCTATGCTCCTCTTTCTTCTATATGAATGACAGTGATTGTTGCTGTGGATATTACTCTGTTCCCTCTCTTTTTTCCCTTCTTTTACGGCTTTATCATTGGGATGCGTAAATGTTGTTGGAAGGCATTATTCTCATGTCTTAATTTAAATTGAGCCCCGATAGGTTTGCATGATTCAAAATACACAAAGCTGCAAACATCTGCAGTGAACTTTTGATATTGCATGGTTATGAGTGATTGATGTTATGCAGAACTATGTGCTGCTACTAGCTTCACTATGAAAATATTATTTCTTGGTCCTTGTGACGCCGGAGTACATATTTTTTGTAGGCCTGGATTGATCATTGCCATCATCAATATCATTCATGCTCACTCCTTGATATCAAATTGATGGGTATGTAATCTGATTGGTCTTAGAAAACCTAAAATATTTAATCCTAGTATCCAATATTACAGTTGGCCATGGCTCGAAGAAAAGCAAACCTAGAATGGCAGTGGAGAGCCATGGTCATTTGGTAATTCATTAGGCCAGACATAAAAGGCTCATATTGAGCCTTATACAGCAATCGAAGTAGATTGATTCCAACTGGGCTTCAATCACCTTGATAAGGAACTAATATTAGCCTTTTATGTGAAAATCGGCTCTCTGTATTAGGCAACTGATATTAGCATTATGCTATTGGTACAGATCTTCCACAGGATAAGGAACCGCTAGATTGGAAGGCCAGAATGAAAATAGCAGCCGGTGCAGGCAAAGGTTTAAAATACCTGCATGACAAAGCAAATCCCCCGGTTATTAATAGAAATTTCAAGTCATCCAATATATTGCTGGATGAAGGGTTCCATCCAAAGCTCTCTGATTTTGGTCTTGCGAAGCTTGCTCCTGTTGGAGACAAATCACATGTTTCCACGAGGGTCGTGGGCACTAATGGCTATTGCAGTCCAGAGAATGCACTGACTGGACAATTAACCATTAAATCTGACGTCTATAGTTTCGCCGTTGTCATTTTAGAGCTGATCACTGGACACAAAGCCATCGACAGCTCCTGTCCCCATGGAGAACGGAACCTTGTAACATTGGTAATTCTGGTTTAACTTATGCCTCTTGTTGCATGACCATGACTCCCATCTCATTTGGACTTCTTCCTTTCAGAAGTATGTTTAGGTGCTTTTGGAATGGGAAGAGTTCTTGAAGTGAAACATCCCATTGCTCCATAGTTTTAATTAAATAGGACCGTGGCTGAACATATAAAGAAAAGAAAGTGATTGCAAGTTAATGTCTCTTTTGATGCTTTCACAATTGGGCTTTACAGAGTACTTACTAGAAACGGCAGCCGGAGAGCAGTTTCACGAGCTTGCCTTTGCCTCTATTTTTTAACACCTAAAAGGGAAGGTCCTTTCCAAGAAATCCTAAGTTATTCTTTCTGATGTTTTGCCTGTGCAGGCACGTCCATTATTCAATGACAGGCGAAGATTCTCGAAATTGGCGGATCCAATGTTGCAGGGGCGTTATCGATTATGGCGTCTATATAAGGCACTTTCTGTGGCATCCATGTGTATACAAAAGCAGGCGGCTGCGCGTCCTCTCATTGGGGACAGGGTGATGGCACTTTCTTACCTAGCGAACCAGGCAAACGATCCTAACATAGCTTCTAATTTCGGGAACAAAGGAACTGCTGTCAATGAGAGAGGCGGTACCATTTTGAGGAACTAGGATGCTGGAGGGTCTGGGCGCATCAGCAGGGAATTCGAGGAGTCTGGGAAGAACGATTCTCCAAGGGACGGTAAGTTGTTAAAAAGGGACGTGAATAGAGAAAGGGCCGTGGCCGAGGCGAAGAAGAGCGCTCAAGGCGGTTTCGATGGATCTAATGACATGTTGTCTCGATCGAGAATTTCCCGCTTCGTTCCCTTCTCGAGCCTCTTTGCTTGCTTTCTGTGAACCGTGCAAAACAAAAACAGGGCATTCATGTTGTGTCACACATATTACATTTTGCCAAACTGACTGAGTGGAGAGATTGTGGTCGAATTAGGAGGAATCGGTCCCTACTGCTTTAACTCACACTTTTCGGGTTCCATCTCTCCATTCTCTGTTTATACTCTTCTTGAAAGTTGGAGGAAGAAGACTTATGTGTATATCACTGCTAGGACAGCAATCTATAGAACGAGAATAAACAGGGAGAGAGAGAGAGAGAGAGAGAGAGAGAGATTATCTTGTGATGCTTCCGCTGGATCTTGTAAGTTTATTCTGAGCAGAATTTGACTGCATTTTCTAACTCTAAGTTTAAGCAACATCTTTTATCGCCTAATTTACACGTCGCGGTAAGTAGTGCAATTATGTGTCCATGTGTATTTTAATTTGGGCTTGTTAGACTATCTCGTCTCAACCGTAGAAGAAGATTAAAACTCTATTTGGTTTTGAATCTTCTTGCTGCCTTGCTTATCACAGGGACACTGCAAATGACGCAAGTTTTTTAATTCCTATCCAATCATGAACAGCCTACAATGATCTTTCGAATTGTTGCTACAATTTCGTTCACTTTTACTCTCTTTCCGGGCATTAATTTAAACTAAAATGCTTGCAATATCCGAAGCACCATCTGATAAATGGCCCATAAGGTTCGTTATACTCGAGTTCCACAGGTGATATTCAAGTTTGTTAAGGCGATTCAGCACGAGTATCATCGACCCAACATCATCAGCGAAAACAGGTTTCTCGACCACTTGCATAATAATGAATATATTAGTAATCAACTCGATCTTTATTTAGATGACTATTGGCGCTCAAATTTGGCTGATTGGGCTAGAAGAAAGAAATGGTACATCAGGCCCAAATTGTTTAATAGCAGACTGGGTAAGGAAGTCGCACAAGGCCCATTACACAGGATACCGAAAACTCGGCACCAATAACCACTCGGGACGACGGGATCAGGATAAGAGTGGTTACCACATTCGGTGTCGACAATACCGCGAAATAAAAGGGGCGGTTATCAGGAAGGAAGTCGAACAATCCATAATCAAGACGATAACTTTTCGGTAGCGATTATTCATCAGCGTTAGATAAAAATAGCTTACAGGCAATCATTGAGAGGACCTTTTGCTAAATTGACTGCCGAACGCATACCTTTTGTAATCTAGTTCATTCAATTACTATCGTTAATTTACCTTTTATCGCACAATTTATCTTTTGTCCTTTTACTTTTGTTCGCCGTTAGTGTAGATTTCATCGCTTCCTTTCCGAAACGACACAGGGCCTGGTTACTCACAAAAAAGCCGAAGATCTTCCCCTTCGGTGAAAGATTTTTTGTTCGAGGCCACTCTCGGTTTCTTTTTGGCACGCCCGGTGGGACCATTGTGTTTCGTCTCTAGGAAGTGTCAATGGCGAAAACCAGGAATCAGGAAGGCCGTGCTAGCATCGGCAAGGATAACTCACCCCTGTAGCGCGTGGGAGAAAGGCTTGCTCATTCCAACACATCTGATCAAAATCTTAACCCAACAGTCAATATCGTGAAGGTTGTCGACAGTAAAAATAAATAAAGTAATAGAGATAAATGCATGAAGGTCGTCAAGAGGTGACATAACCCATAAAAGGTTGTTTACGTAAGCAGACAACTGGCAAGCATTGGAATATCCAGGCTGGAAATTTGAGAATTTGAAATTGAAAAGACTAGAGTCGTAGAAGAAGCAAGCGCCACCTGAGCTTCCATACCAAAGGTCATCGATGAAAATTGTTATATGAAGCTTAAGTCATCGAAGCTGTCGACGAGAAAAGAAGGAAGGACAGGTGTCAAGACAGAAAAAGATTAATGATGGTTATCGCATGGGGAAGGACGGATGTCAAGACGGAAAGAGATCGATGACGATTATCGCATAGAGAAGGACATGTGTCAAGATGGAAAAGAGATCAATGACGGTTGTCGCATGGGAAGGACAGGTATGTCAAGATGGAAAAAGAATCGACGACGGTTATCTCATAAGAAAGGACAGGTGTCCAAAATGAGGACAAAGTCAAACTAATGGTTAATAATGGGCATGAGGAAAATGGAGAAAAAGATAAAGTCTATGGCAGTTAATGGACATGTGTCATAAAATGAACAGCGAAGATGAGATCAACGGTAGTTATTGAATATGGAACAGAAGGCGGTTATCAGACTCACAATATAAATACTACCCGATAGCCAGAAAAAGCCCCGCGAATACACATCAAGATGCTGTCTTTCAATTATCTTTAATTCCAGTATTGCACTTTTAGTTTCCATAGCCGTAGTTATCTACGTTTTAAGCACAGTAGCTTTGTAATGTTGCATCGATGGAGTTCGGATGCCGCCAGTCAGTAGCTGGACGGAATTGTCTGAATTGTTTATAAAGTTAGAAGCTCTTATTAGCCAAATTTCGCCAAGGTACAAACCTGTGTTGTTGATCGAAATAAACAAGCTTTTTATTCACGCCTCCTGTCCGGAGTTAACCACAGAACCTAGTCCCCTCTTATTAAGAATCGAAAAATGACTTTCAGTGAATTATATTTCATTGCATGAGCATTTCGGGCGAAACAAGAACATATGAGGATGAATGGGGGAAGTGGGTTGGAAGGAAATGGCCAACAAGCAGCATGAATGTGAAGAAGAACAATGAAGATGAAGGTGAACAGCTTCTTCTGATTTCTTTTTGTCTTTACCTAGGATACCGAAGGCGATGGTCCACAGATGATAATCAGCCATTTTACCTCTCACTAACTTTTGCTGAGGAGGATCATACAACGGATGGTCTAAGGTGCTTTTATATACACCGGGGGTTGTGTGTGTACGTGAGAGAGAGGGAGAGTATGCGTATTGAAATTACTCTACTTGCATGACAAGTGAGTTAAGAATAATGCTCTTCGTGATTGTATTGTTACTATAAATAGTAACAAAATATTTTGGATATGTGTTACGTGACTATTGCAGTCAACGGATGAAACTTATAGCATGGATATCTTCGTGATCGTATTGTTACTATAGATAGTAACAAAATATTCAGGAGATATCGTAAAGATATCCTAGTTCCTTTTTTGGTCAAAATGAAGATATTCAGATAGTAACAAAATTGTTACTAATTGTAAATGATTATGTAATATTTTGTTACCGTAAATAGTTGACGTGCCTACATGCTAGTTACGTGGCTATTGCAGGGTAAATGGAGGAGACTATAGCATGACTTCTCGTGGATGCAACTTCCATTAATGTGGTTCCATCAATGTGGCCGATGATGTGTAAAAGGGACTCTCGGGAACTTAGGTTACATATCGACTTGAGGACGCCCCAGAATAACGTGAAGATATATCGTGTAGATATCCTAGTTACGTGGTTATTGCAGGGTATATGGAGGAGAATCTAGCGTGACTTCTCGTGGATGCAACTTCCATTAATGTGGTTCCATTAATGTGGCCGATGATGTGTGAAAAGGGCTCTCAGGAACTTAGGTTACATATTGACTTGGGGAGGTCCCATGAAGGTGTTACGTTTACTAATGAAAGCTATTAAATCCGCGACTGCGCTACTAATGGGGTTGCCGTTTTCGTGCTGTTTTCGTGATGGGGTTGTTGTTTTCGTGTTGATTTGATATGGAAAACATGGGATCTGCTCTTCATGATATCTACAGAATATTTTGTTACTTTGCTTGCATGACAAGTGAGTTAAGAATAATGCTCTTCATGATTATATTGTTACTATAAATAGTAACAAAATATTCTGGATATCGTGTTACGTGACTATTGCAATCAACGAAGGAGACTTATAGCATGGATATCTTTGTGATTGTATTGTTACTATAGATAGTAACAAAACATTCTGGAGATATCGTGAAGATATCCTAGTTCTTTTTTTTGGTAGAAATGAAGATACCAAAATAGTAACAAAATTGTGATTGATTGTGTAATATTTTGTTACTGTAAATAGTTGACCTGCCTGTACCCTAGTTACGTGGCTATTGCAAGGTAAATGGAGGAGACTATAGCATGACTTCTTGTGGATGCAACTTCCATTAATATGGTTCCATTAATGTGGCCGATGATGTGTGAAAGGGACTCTCAGGAACTTAGGTTACATATCGACTTGAGGAGGCCCCGGAATATCATGAAGATATGTCGTGTAGATATCCTAGTTACGTGGCTATTGTAGGGTAAATGGAGGAGACCATAGCATGACTTCTCGTGGATGCAACTTCCATTAATGTGGTTCCATTAATGTGGCGATGATGTGTGAAAGGGGCTCTCGGGAACTTAGGTTACGTATCGACTTGGGGAGGACCCATGAAGGGGTTACGTTTACTAATGAAAGCTATTAAATCCACGACTGCACTACTAATTGGGTTGCCGTTTTCATCCTGATTTGATATGGAAAACGTCGGATCTGCTCTTCGGGTCTTTTCTTTTTTGGGTTCGCGCCACTTCTGTCCCTTTATTGATTGCCAACGCCCACACGACCCAGTTATCTCTAGTGTCGTTGGAATCGCCGTTGTGCCGGTGACTTGGACTTTACGGTAAGGGTTCAAAAGCCGCCCAATAATCCCCTCGTCTTGATCCGACGAAATTCGTAAAGGCAGGGAATCGTTGTTGTAGTTTCAGTCGTTTTCGTCTCATCATGGGTGGCCTAAGTTTTAGATTGTTATACAGTGAACAATAGTTTCATCTGTACCCTGTGAGAAATACTTAGTATACATCGTTGCAAACCTTCGTCCATCCTCGACTCCATATTTTGTTGCGCTCTATCCATTCCGGTAAATCACAACTCTTAGTTTGCACGTTTCGTTGCACACTAAGCTCTGTTTGTTTCGCGAAAAATGAACGATTTGCCAAAT